AAGTCCAGAAGATGCAAGTATATATATATAAAGTAAAAGTTGTGGATTTGAATTCTGATCTAAACAATGTTTTATCAGATATTAAAATTTAAATAAAGTTCATTAATCATTAATGTTCTCAACAGATGATAACATTTGTACCTATGATTCAAATTATTTAATTATTAAACAAGTAAAACGGCAAAACCGTGTTTGGGACAAGACTATGTCTCGGAGACTCACTACTAAGCAGAATCACTTTGGCACTCAAGGTGAGTCTCATTCTCATTCTCCAATCTTCATTGGTATCACTGCTTTTGGGTGCTATCATTCAAACTTTGCCAGCCACGATACATTTTTGATGAAATTAACCCATCCAATTTCGAAATTTCTCTTTGTTGCGTGTCACCCTGGGTTGAATTTTTGTCCATGCAAAATAAAAATTTCCTGTTTTTGAAAAAAATAATTGTGGCTATTGTATCATCCAAAATTATTTTTTTATTTTGCGCAAACAATATACAGTTTAACCCAATTATAACCTCATCAGATGTAAAGACAACCTAATATAATGTCAAATTTTTATTGGTCCCACAATTTTACTATACTAGATAATGTTAAAAAAAACCCACTTGTAATGACATAAAACCATTTTAATGGCATATCTGAAGCACTCCCAAATTTACAAAATTAGATTACAAATTTTATTTAACATAGAAGAAACTGTGTGTTCAGTCCTAAGGTCAGAGTTCACTTTTTAGAATGACTGTGGGTTGTACTCTCCCCACCTGACTTTGGTGGGGTGAGGTGCCTGTTTTACCTGTTAGTAGAAGAGGATCGCCATTTTGTATTTTATTTTGACTCGGTTCTCGGTCCCCTGACTACCTACAAGTCTGGATTTTTTTATGCGCAAATGATTTCGGCACCTAATACTCTGTGCCAAATATCAACTCTCAACATGTACTCCTTCATACCTCTATGCTGGTAACATAAAACGGCAGTACGATTTTATAAACAAGACAGTCTTGTCAATAATTTAATCAGCCTAATTGTAACAATGATTTTGAATAGTACTGTATTTTGTAATAAAATCATCCTCTATTGGTTTCCAAATAAGTATAAAATTTAATTGTAAACAAAAATTATACTTAGAAAACATGGTTTATATAAATTTCAAGCCATATGGAAAATTTCATCTTGTCTTTACTAGATAAAATTTTTACTTGCTTGACCATTTAAAATAAGTAACTTAACAAATAAGAGAAAAAAGTAAAGATCATTAACAAAAAGGAGGGAAAGATAATCAAAATATCAAGTATCAACCATTTATGAAAGTTTGAGATTTGATAGCAATAATCACCGGTTTAATTGGCTATTTAAGCCAATTAAAAAAAAATGGAAAATGTAAATTGTTAATTATTGTATTGATTTTTAATTAACAATATAAACAATCACATTATGTTCTAAATTATAAACAATTTAACTGATTAAAAATATTTAAAAATAAATAAAATCACAATTATCAAGCATAATTAAATTTAAATTATAAATTTAGCCTTTAAAAATGATGGTGTTATATGGCATCATATGCTAATTTTAATAGAATAATTCAACATTTTCTTACATTATACAAATCATGATAATAAGCTTGCCAACTCACAAAGAGTTGATCCAGGATTTTGCCATTCAAGTAAAAAATTTCAGATTTCACATTTTGCTCAGACATGCAAAAACGCTGTTGCCTATTTTTTAGTCTATTTTAATATATACCTGAAAAGTTAATTGTCTTGTTGAGTAAATACAGGAGGAAAAGGTTTCAATTTGGAAGTTGGAAAATTTAAAAATTTCTTCCAAATTCCAGGAGTCTCTTGGTGAATCCTTGAGAATTTGTAACCCTAACAATAATATTAAAAAAAACAAATCCTTAACTAATGGCTTTTAATTAGGAATGTGTTTTGATTAGGTTCTTAATCTGTTCAATATTAATTAATTAATATTTCAGTCACATTATTTGCAAATAATTAATTTGAAATTAAAACAAAATTTAATAATATAAGCATCTGTTAGCCCAATTAAAGCTAAAACAATTGCCAGATTAGATTGTAATATATACCAATCAAATGCTAGTTTTAAAATTTAATACTTTTTCTATAAAAAAAATGCTAGTATTAATTAACAACTCTGCCTAATTTAATAAAATTTGATTCTTTCATTTAACTGGCACAAAGATATACAGTACTATAAATTTGTTATATTGTATTAAAAAGTTTGAATTAGCAATATTTCCATATTATATAGAATATTATTTCTATTAAAATTTACCATATAATTTTCTTATAACAGTATAATCATTGCAATTTTTAATCAAACATGAAATATTCAAAACCAGTTCTTGGATTAAACTGAACTTTTTCTTTTAATGTCTTATATAATTAATTATAACTAAAATCATATATAAATTCCTTAAATATTTTGATGAAATATAATTTCCTTAAATATTCTTTCAAACAACTAAATTTACATTTTTTTTATTATTTCCTAAAAGTTTTGAAATAATATGAAAATACAATTTATTTTATAAATCATTATTTTTGTAAATTATAAACTATTAACAAAAATAGAATTCTACCTACAGTTAATACAAAGAAACTTCTCTAATTTGTTTATATTGAGGCATTTAATTTATGTGAATGAAATATATATTAATATTATCACAAGTTGTATTATTGTTAAGCTACATATTTATTATTTCTATCCTTTTCTATCTACTATTTCTTTTCCTTTTCAATAAAACTGAATTATCTTCTCTTTGATTTATCAATCTTTAATAATGATAAGATCACATTTTTGTAGGATTTGATCTTAATGTGAGTTGCATTAAGTACAACTTCTTAATATCATATCTTGACAATTAAGATTATTATATTAGTTTCATCAAATAATATATTTTGTAAAATAATATAATCAATAAATTATTGAACATTAATTTTCACATTGATTTATTCTTAAGTGTATAAATAGATATTAATAATAAAAGTGAACAGTTAAAGCAGTGATTCCCAAACCTTTTTCATAAACTTATACCCAACATCCCTTACCCTTTTCCTGTGTGAGAAAATCTTTGAAATATTCTTAAAAAACTTTTCTATGAACTTCACACTTTGTGTCTTTACTTTGTGGAAACCATTAAATGCTTTGTTTCTTTTACCCACCACCACTTGCTTCGATTCACTCTAGATTTACTCACTGCCCACAGCGAGGCAGTAGCACCCACTTTCCAGTTAACGTTTCCATAACGTTTTGTATATTTTCTCAAAAACTTACTAGTTGATAAACTTCTGCATATCAATACAGTCTTACTAATCCTAAAAAGAAATCTATATATATAAAAATGAATGTATATCTGTCTGTCCTTCATGCATTACCACAGCGTTTATCCAATTGCCATGAAACTTTGGGAAGTTGTTTAATATACTCCCGCAAAGGTTTCTGGCATAGTACATTTATCCTATGATAGATGGCGCGAGTGTATATGAGCATCGTGAGTTTGATCGATTTCAAATTGTGAAGACCATTTCCCTCCTCCAAAAAATATTTCTATATATGAATTTGTGAACTGTTATTTATGATATTTGTAATAATTTTTGTTTAATCACTTTATTTCAACTTTTTTTTTGCTAATCATGTATTCGCTGGAACTTTGTTAAAACCTTAACTGTATCCCGAACAACAACCGAAGTTGTAGGAGGAAATTTGCCTATTTTACTGATCTAGGTATCCCCCCTTTTCCAAATTTTATTATCGACTCAAAATAATTTAAAAAGACAAATTACAATAAAACAGTTTATTATCCAACTATCAGAAATTTCACAACATGCCAAGGAAGAGAAGAAAGAGCAATTAAATAATTAAAATTGTAAAGGATTTAAAAAAATATATAAAAATGGGGAATATNATCGTCTTTAGTAAAACCTAGCATGTACCAAATTCTAATGGTAAAAGCCCGGAAAATCATCTCACTTTATAAAAATCCTTACATTTACCAACTCATGTTGGTAAATCCGAAGATTTACAAGTAAAACCTAGGATTTACCAATATACGGGCTTTTACAGTAACATAAGCACCAGACGGAAAAACAAAAAATATCGTGTATCCACAAGCACTCCAATAAATAAATAGAATTGAAACGACACTTTGAAATGTTTTCCCGATGAAAATTAATAATAATAATAATAATAAAAAAATAATAATAAATTTCAATGAAAATGATAAAATGTAAATTTAATTTTATCATAACGAGTTTGCTTGAATTTCGTTTCTTCTGAGATCGCAGCAATGCGCGACGGGTAACCTAGTATTTTATAAAATATCACCAAAATATACAACGTGATACACCGTTTATATTCAAAATGACATTATTTGTTCATTTATGAAAATAAAGTCTTTCAATTTTGAATCAATTTGAAATATGTTTTTCAAGAAAATATTAACATTAATACTATTTTATATCTTCTAATAAGCCAATTACATGTATATTTTCTTATTAAATATGCAATAACGCCTGCATATGATTGCATCACCAAATAGATCAATCTTCCTGAAAAGGTGTAAACCAGTCATAATATACAGAATCCATGTCATTGTTTAATTATAAGTAATGTTTAATTATCCATCTGAAACTACAACAGATCAAGGAAATTCTAAAGAAATTATTGATATATTAAAAGCTGATGTAATATCTAACAATAATTAATTAAATTCTGTCTGTGAAAGTTTATTTTATTTGATATATGATAATTACCATCAATTCAAGAAAATCAACAATTTTAGTAATAATTAATAAATGAATTGCAAGCAAAGAAAATATGAATAAGATATTGCAAAGAATTGTAATAAATCTGTTAGTATTTTGAAACAAAGAGAGAATGTCAGTTGGATTAAAGATGAGTGATAAATGTTTGAAAACAAATTTTCTATTAGTATTGATGGGAACAAAAAGACTGACTGTTAGAAATAAACTCACGTCATCCGACGAGCCGAAAACTTCATAAAAATGCCTCCATTTTCTTTCAATATTCCTATTCCTGTTATCTATAACAGCATTATTATCCTGTCCGTAATATTTTAATATTTCTCGTTTGTTTTTATGACTAGGTCGACCTGGAAAAATTCGGCGCGCCATTTTGATATAAACTATCCTTCAGGAGAAGAACTACAGGGCGACATCTATCAGATGGAAATTGAATTATTAGTTTAAATTTATATTGTATTATTTTGATTTTTAACTTACGAAAAATAGCTTTTTTTTCTTATGTTACGTTCTGTTTTAATATAGTATTAATGTTAATATTTATTATAGATTGTATATTATTCTGAACAAACTATAAAATACTGTTTCATTGTTATTATTCGTTATTGTATAATCAGTTGTTTTGGAAATGTATAACAATAACTAAAATACAGTGTTAAATACTACTAACAACTTATGTTTTATTTATATATGTACACATTTATATTATAGCATTTGTAGTATTTACCAAATGTTTTGTATATCTTCATCTGTACTTCTTCCATATTTCTTGTTTTGGATTTAGTTTCGGTTGCTAAAAGATACCATTTCAGTAACCGTGTTCTTACATTTTCCTTTAGAAGGGCTCACTAATGACCAAGTGAAAAAAAAAAACACTAAACATTGGTAGTTGGTCGTACCTGACCAATGGCTGGCCATGTCGAGCTTTCCGAGTTTTCTTCACTTGTCTAACGCTTAAATAAGTGTCAATTTCCCATAGAAAGTCCTTCCGGAAGGCATTTTCCTTGAAAGATCGTCCATGTGTTGTTTGTCATATCCCATTAAACTAACTTTACCTTTCAAAGCATAATTATTAACGCTTCTTTGTGCTATACCTCGTATCCAGTGCCGGCACGAGGCAAGTTTTAGGATGGAGCGAGATCCTATTATGGCGCCCCCCCAAAAAAAGGAAAAAGGAAAAAAAAATTTTTCCCTTAAAATTCCTTAACAACGAAGCCCCCCCTAGGACTTAGCGCCTGGAGCGGCTGCTCCGTTCGCCCTATGGTAGGGCCGGCTCTGCTCGTATCATTACAGAACGTAGCGGGACAGACAATAACTGTCTGTCCCTGCTACGTTCTGTCAAGAATTGTCCCACACAGTACTGTCTGTTCGTCGAAAGATGGACTCCGACGAGAGGGTGACTCCCTATAACATTTGATTGTTGTCAGCTTCAATCCATTCACATCATGCATTATTGTCGATAGTGACCCGGTTCTTTTTCAGTTTTAGTTCATTTTTATCGTCACCAGACTTCTCACCTTAACGTATAGAATTTTTTCTCACCACCATCCACCTGCACCAGGCTATCGATACTAATTCATTCTATGAGTCAGGGCTATTTTCTAGCCGGGTTTCGGCTGGAAAATAGCCCTGACTCATAGAAGGAATAAGTAGGCTGTAATTAGAGCGGCGGTACTGTGCTAAGGCGCCTATTCTCTCTGATATAATATGTCTGTCATATTACAGGAGGTTTTGGCATGGGCGTAGCGAGGGGGGAGCTTGGGTGGGCACGGCCCCTCCTAGGGAACCTGGTGTCCCCCCAGGAAATCACAGCCGAAAAAGTGTTGAGTCGATTTGTAAACACCTAAAGCTAAAATAAAAGTTTTGAATACTAAAAAAAAGGTGAACAGCTTGCTCGGTGCCCAATAATAAACAATAATTTGAAATAATTCAATTTTGTGTCAGGTTGGCCTCCACTAGGCCCCCATAACAAAACTCTGGCTACGCCCATGGGTTTTGGTCAGTAGCGTAGCGTAGTGGAGGCGGTCCGCGCCCGGGCGGCACTTTTAGGGGGGCAAAATTTCATAATAAATAATAATAATATCTTGTAAAAATTTGAACCATTTCATTTCATATTTTTGTCGCATCTACGATTCGGACCGATTGAAATGAGCACGGAATTTTTCATTACTTATTATGTGACGAAACTTAATTTTAGTCTTTTAAATTGAGATACCTAAATAAAGGAACGGCTGACACCCACGCTACGCCACTGGGAAGGGGATTCCAAAATGCATGTATTTGCTTTATTATTTTCCCAAACCTAATTAATTAGGTTTGGGAAAATAATAAATGCAAATTATTGCATAGGGCACAGGAATGGTTAGTTACGGCACTGCATCTGCAGATGTTTTACAGTTATCTTTAAATAATCTGTAAATATAACAGGGCCGGATCATCGCGTAGACAAATGAGACAAATGTCTAGGGCCCTGTTTTTAGAAGGGCCCGGTCAAACTGTCTATTTTGAAAAGATTTGTAAATAAGATAGTTTACTTTTCTGTTGGACAACAGTATATAATAAACAAATAAACAAAAATATATTGCTTTTTATATGGTTATTGTGAATTCTAAAATCTGAAGAAAATGTACGTGGGTTGTTCAAAAAGTTCCCGAACTTTTTGAATAGCGCGCCTCCAGTTTGTTATTTTTTAATCGGCTTGGAGGCGCTGTGTTCGCGGAAACTCCCCGAGTAACCTTCTTCAACCCGTTTCTTGATATCTTGTTTTGGTGATTAGCTACGGCCGTTTATGTGAAGTGGTGTTTGCAGGGTTCGGCGAAAATCCGGATCCGCGGAAATCAGCTCTTTGAAAGAACAGCGCTGTTCTGTGAAAATCTGTGTGAAACTTGGAAAATGCTTCACGGAAACTTTTCACGGTAAATGAAACAGCCTCCGCCCCAAAACAGCTCGACAAGTGCGCTCAAATGTTAAGATGATGTGGACTGTTTTTTCGATGCAAATGAGGTTGTGCATCACGAATACCTACCTACAGGCCGGACAGTAAACACGGAGTACTACCTGGTGTTATGAAACGCCTAAGAGACAAAATCAGGCGAGAACGGCCCGAACTTTGGAGGAGCGGCAAGTGGTTTTTTCACCACGACAACGCGCCGGCTCATTTGTCCTTCGGAACACGAGTTTTTGGACAAAAACAAGACTGCTGTGCTTCCCAACCCACCCTACTCACCTGACCTGGCCCCATGAGACTTTTTCCTGTTCTCCAACAAACTAAAAAACCAGAGGCGGACTAAGGCTAAAGCGGGCCCTAGGCAACATTGTAATTCCGGGCCTATTTTTAAAATTAAAAAATTAAAAACCTAATTTCCGGGCCCCAAAAATTACGGGCCCTAGGCACGTGCCTAGGTTGCCTAGGCCTTAGTCCGCCCCTGTAAAAAACACATATTATCATAAAATTAAAATTGTCAGTGGCGCCATCTGTTATGAGATTATTTTTTAAAATAACTTTTATAATATTAGTTATTATAAAATGGCAAATAACTTAAATTTGAGAGTAGATTTGAATTTTATAAAATAATAATAATAATAAATTCTTATTATTNAATTGGAAGACATATATATATAATATATATATATAAGAATGTGTTTATTTGTTTGTTCGTCATACATTTCTAGGCCATGTGACCAATACCTTAGATAATGTCGTACCTGCCACCCCAAAATATCTATTGGATTTCTGTAAATAAATTAATTTCTTTCTACATTCTATTTGCTGATTTACGCATAGTGTCATCTATTGACAAAATCTTTAACAAAATAATAAACTAAATATAATTCTTATAAAAAGATATAATTTGAAAAAATATATATTATATTCACTTAATTACTGCGACAATAATATAACATGAAATAGAGGCGCTATATAATTACTGCGACAAGTAGCATATAGCATTTGCCGGCGTGCAATCGAAAGTGTTACCCTGTGAAAAATCTCTAAGTACTGTATTTGATTTTTCACATCTAACAACTCGGGTTTTCTCATTTCTGAACGGTACTTTCTTAATTCTAATAAGCGTCCTTCAGTAGCCGAATGCATAAAACCACCGAACTCTGGCAGTGGATTAGGGCATGGTCAATGGGCTGGCCACGTGGAGTTTGACGGAATTTTTTCACCTAAATAGGGTTTAGCTTCTCATAAAAGTTTTCCTCGAATGCATCCCCTCGGCAGATCGCTCACGTGTCGCGTTGCAGTAACGAAATAAACCAAACTAGTTCTAACGAGAAATTATTTATTGTGACTGTCACAATGTCGGGCTGAAACTTTTCGTCGCAACGTTCTCAATTCTTTTAGCGATTTCTTGCCTCTATACATCACACTTTTCCTGTTAGCAGCAGAGTCGTGCCGGTTATCTATCTAACTGTTTTCAGGGGAAAATTTTGAATTGAAGTAACACGATTTTCGGTATAAATCGAAAGTTCATATATAGTTATTCTGGTTTTCTTGCTCTTATGCTTTCCATATATCGTCTTGATTTTCATTTATCTAATTCCGTTGTCGAGAAGGACGGAGACGGACGGACGACAGTGAGAATTTATAGGTCTACAACTTTTTCAAATTGCTGCCTAATTACTATACTACTAATGACGATTTTACCCGTTATTTGCATTTACAGTTTTTTTTTTATAATTTATAAAGTATATTATTAACCTCAAAAGTAAGCTTTTTGTCATTTTATAATAGTTAAAGATATAAAAAGTTTTTAAAATAAAATATCATAACAGATGACCACCAAATGCTGCCGGAAAATTTAAGCAACTCGTTGCTGGATTTTTTTGTAATAGTATTAAAAACGAAAACCGGTATTTCTTAATGTCCGTTTTGCCATGACTCAGCTAAAAGCTAAGTTTATTTTACAGATAAAAATACGCACATAACTTTAAATTTTATATGTTGAATATATTTTGAGAAATAAATGCAATAGACAAAAATTTAACTCGTGTATAATACGAAAGTAATGCTTTAATGCAAATACAGTAGAGCGTCGATTTTCCGAATCAATTGGGGACTGGGGTTGTTCGTATAACTGATATTTCGGATAACCGATTTATGTACGAAAAAATAGTTTAACGTATTCGATGTTGAAATCTTTCTCCGTTGCGTGTCGCTTCGCGTTGAATTTTCGTCGATGTTAAGCCTAACAAAGACTATTGTATCTTTAAAAATTATTTTATTTTGTACGAACAAAATAAATATATTGAAAAATATAAAAACAATAAAAAATTATACTTCAGATGTTAATTTAGTATCAAAAACGTAAAATATCTGAGTAGCCCAAGACATAGCCAAAGATTGAAGCTCCACAGCACTGGCAAAAATTTAAATTTGCCGACTGGAATTCTTTTGGATGATTGACGTTTCGGATGATTGACCTTCGGATAATCGACGCTCTACTATATTAGCAAAATAATATTCGTAACAATTTCACAAAAGAGGGGGGAAATAATAATAATTTACAAAACGGCAATTTAAAGAAGTGCTCTCCCTTACGATAAAAATTAATCAATCCTGAAGTTATGATTTATATTTTTGCGTTAAAACTAC